CTGTAAAACAGCAATTATGCTGAGTCAGGCTTGATTTTTAATAATCTTTTCCCGTTAAATAAATAAATCAAATCAATCAAATCAATGACACGACTGACCCACATAAAACTGGCAGTTTGTCAATAATATATAAAGTTTCTGTTTGACCTGTTTTCAGTCACTTCCTGTTTCCGAAGTTAACCCACGTGCTAGCTGGCGCAAGTTTAGCACTTGAGAATATTTTCTTATTTGTTTGTTTTTATCAAGTCTTCACAATGAGTATCTTTAAAAAAAGGATGCACAAGTTTGAGCCTTATAGGATCCTACGAGTGAAAGCACGGCTATGACATCATCTGCTGGTTCTGGGTTTGTTGTGATCCAGGCTAAGCTCCTGCTGCTGCACGGCTCTCGGGCCTCCCCTTCTCTCTTCTGTGTTTTTGTGTGTGTGGCCGACAGCAAAAAAAAAAAAGGGGGAAAAGAAAAAAGAAACTCAATTAGCAGAGCGTGTCCTGCGCCGCTGCAGAACAACATGGGACACATTCAGTTAAAAATGCAGCTTCAGCCCCGTTCATTCAGAGATATATGTACACACAAGCAGCTGCGGCGGCCATATTTGTAAGGGAACAACAACAAAAAAGGAGCTACATTCAGGATGCATTTCACATATAAACAAAGCAACATTTCCAACAGTCAGGGCTGTGTTTTCATTCTTTGTCTTTAAAATGAGGGGAAAAAAACACGAAATTCAAAGATAAAAGGGAGACAGGAAACTGTCTGAAACCCTGATGAGCTGAAAAAAAAAAGATGCAAAACAGTCCCAAAGTGCAGCATTTGTGTCTGAGTGTTTTGTGCTTATTGTTTTTGTTGCTGTTTCACTAAATATTTGTTGTGGATTACGTGTCATTATTTACTGTTTTGCATTTTTTTTTACTATGATGTGGTCAGAGGAAAGTCAGGAGGAACACAAAACCCATCTCATCCTGCAGACCTCAGCGTAACGAGCCTTATTCTCTTTTTTCTTGTTGTTTTTGATTGTCTGTACATAAGGCTTCTTGTGTCTGGGCTTTTACCTTTTTTTTTCTGAGACGAATTATTTAAAAAAAGGAAATAATAAAACTGAAAACAATAAAAGCAATCCTAAATTCAAAATAAACTCATTACAAGCTATGAAATCAAATATTTTTAAAAATACTTTGAATTTTTTTGAAGTGACGTTTACTCGGATAGTGAAACGTGGGTACGCACTCAATGTAAACAAAGCGCTTTTATCAGYACTTTGCTCAAAAAAATTAAAAATGTACAATATAATAAAATAATCTGACTTCTTAATCCCAAACATGAACTTTGTTGACATTTTTTTAGTCACCTCAGCTGTTTTTGTTGTGAACAAACAGCCAAATTTTACTTTCCTTTTTTGTTTAATTTAAAGACTCATTAACCATCATAATGAGCAGGAAGCTATTTTTTTATTTGTCTTCATGGCTCTGCAATGAGTAGCTTTAAAATAATTAAAAAAAGGTTTTAAAAAATTACAACCAAAGCTCACAATCAGCAAGAATAAATTCCCTTTAAACCAAAAATAAAGGCGTAACAGGAACTGATTGATAAATCAAGTAGAAATAATTCTTACAGTACATTTTGACCCCTCTTGAAAAATAAAAATATTAAAATTAAAAAACAAACAGCGCTGATTCATAAAACAGACCCCGTGGCACAGAGTGGAGAAACCCTGATTTTTTTTTTTTTTTTTTTTTTTTTTTTTTTTTTATTTACAAAGTTAACAGTCCCTGCCAGGTTAAATGTTGCCACATTCAAAAGAATGCGATTTTTTTATTTTCGTTTTTTTTTTTTTACATTAAACCCTGCAAACACTCCAACAGGTCGAGCACATCAGCAGGAAGAAACAAAAAGAAAGAAAAGAGTTCAGAAAGCAAACCATATTGCTTGAATTGGTAGCTTATTTGAAAAACATGACTCCACGGAGCTGCGGGTCCTGTTGGTGCTTCATGTGCGGCTCCTCTTCCAAACAAAGCGGGATGGAAATCCAGACAAAATGGGGGGGAAAAGGCAAAAATGGCGAGCTTTGTAAACTCACTTTAAGAGGCAACGATTATGTTGGGGCTCCTTTTTTTTCAAACCCCCCTCATAAAAAAAAACAGCTCAGTATTTCCTGGTCCTGTGCAGTGGGGGAGGGAGGATCTGGCCGCCTGGCTGCCACCTCCACACGGGGTGGGACGGAGGGGGAGGCCCGGGGCCCCTCAGCGAGCTCAGGGAGTGCGCGGGGCACAGATCCCCGTCGCTGCCCACAGCGAGCGACGGCGGAGCCGGGAAGTTCGCCATCAGGCTGAAAGGCGCTTTTGCGGGCGACGCCGCCGCGCTGCGTTTGCGTCGGCTCCGGAGATCCTCCGCGTCCTCGCAGCCCGCGGGACGCGAGGAGGASGAAGAGGAGGAGGAGGAGGAGGACGGGGAGGAAGAGGCAGCCTTGTTGGGTCGCTTTATCCTGGATATTCGTGGCTTTTTGTTCCTCTGTCCCTGAGGCCTGCAGGCTTTGTGGCTCTGCTCCCCCTCCTCCGCGCGCGCGGCGTCCTGGCTGCATTCCTGAGGGCCGCAGGGGGACCTGGGGGCCACGTCTGGACTTCTGTCTCCTTTACATTTGACCGCGCCGGCCTGGCTCTGGTATTCATATTCATCCCAGCTCTCCTCCACTTTAACTTTCACGCTGTGGAGGATGAAGGGGGCCGTCCTGCCTGCGCCGCCGCTGCAGTCCGGATGGGGGGCCGCGCTCACGGGGGCTTCATCCGGCTCGGTTTTTATTTTTTTCAGCGGGGCGCAGGTGCCTCTCGACTCCTTTTTGTCCGCGCATTTCTGCGGCTTGCCGGCGTCAAACTGTGCGCCAAGTCCCGAGAGGCGCTGGCTGGGAAGTCCCGAGGTCCTGCGTGACAGAGGAGAGGCCTCAACCAAACCCTGTCCCTGTGAGTGAGAGACCAGGTCTGCCTCGACCCGGTCCGGAACGGCCTCGCGCAGCTTCTCCTTTGCGGGTTCAATAAAAATGGCTGTGGATGAAATAAAGTGGGTTTCGCTGCGTAAAAAGTCGTATTTTGGATGTTTTTCATGTCTGCTGTCTCCTGTTTGCGCATCCTGACCCGGAGTCCCGGGTTCTGGTTGGTTCTTGTACTGAAAGGTGGGCTGCAGAACCAAAGGTGCTTTCCCGGTGCCGAGGCCCACCCGCGCCCGTCGGAACCGGATGCTCTGGAGCGAAACACGGCTGGACACCGAGCTGGAGTCGGACTGAGAGGAGCAGCTCTCCTCCTCCTCCTCCTCTGAACTGACCTCTGAACTTTCCGTGTCCTCCTCCTCGTCCTCCTCATCCTCCTCCTCCTCAGAGCCGCTGGTGCTGGTGGAGAACCCGGATCCGAAGTCCGAGTCGGGACAGTCCGAGGAGGCGCTGGACTCGGTGTCGCTGCTGAAGCCCTCCGGGAACTGGTGATGGTGGTGGTGGTGGTGGTGGTGATGGTGGTGGTGGTGGTGGTGGTGATGAGGCCGGGGGTCCAGGTAGAGGTCCGGGCTGAGGTGGAAGGCGGTTTTGGGCTGGAGGAAGAGCACGGGCTGTGCGTGCAGGGGATGGTGCGCGTGCCTGCTCCTGGCGCCTCCCTCGCGCCTCTTCCTTTTGTGAGGCGGCGGCTCGGGGCGGAACAGCAGCGGCTGCCGGGGAAACGCGCGCCTTTGGCTCCAGGTGACGCAGCTCCCCGCGCTCCTCTCGGTCTCGTAGTTTTTGGGGTGCTTGCGGCCGGACTTGGCGGAGGAGCGGCGGCTCCGCCCGCGCGCCTTCTGGTAAAACTGAGATAGTTTGGAGTCGGTGAGCCGCGCAGGCAGCTCGCTCCTCGGGACGCCGCGCAAACTCAACCAAAGTTTCTCCTTCCACAGTTCCTCCTCCTCCTCCTCCTCCTCCTCCTTCTCCTCGTCCTTCCTGCGGGTGGACCTCAGCACGCGCTCCGTCTTGCACGAGACGTACAGCGCCTCCACGTCCTCCCGCGAGATGAGCGTGCATTTGGCGGCGTGGAAGGCGATGGAGTTGATCGCCTTGAGCTTGCGCAGCTCCTCCAGGTCGCACTGGTGCTTCTTCACGCGCAGGTGGTCCATGCGCTTGTGCACCGTGGTCCGCGGGATGTTCTTCAGCAGGTCGGTGAAGACCTGGGACAGGGCGAACATCTGCTTGCCTTTGATGAGCAGGTAGCCCAGCCGCACGCCTTGCATCTCTTCGAAGCCGCACTCCAGGTCTCCCATCGCTCTCTGGGTTTTATTTGATCTTTTATTTAAAATTTTAAAATGGCACAGGGAGGGGTGCGCGCGAGCTCAAGGCATCCTGCTCGCACTTTTTTTTTTAATCCATCCTGTCTGCCGCCGCCGCGTCACCAAAAAGGCAAAGTTTGACAGTTAAATGGATCCGCTTCTCCTCGCCGCGCGCACCGCTCCGGCATGCTTGCTCCGGGAGGGGGTGGGAGGGGAGGAATGGATGGAGGAGCCGGGGCTGCTGCTACCTGCCTCTGCCGGCTCCACTCCCCTCTCTCTCTCTCTCTCTGTGTGTCTCTCTGCTCGGCAGCAGGACAGAGGGGAAGGTGTAACACCGCTGCCTCAGCCAGAGGGATAAAATAGAAGAGGAAGAGGAGGGGAGGGGGGCAGGGAAAGGAAAAGGAGGAGGGAGGGAAGAGTGAATCGGAGAAATAGGAGCTAAAAAAGCAGCTGGCTTCTTCTGGCTGCTCGACTGAGCGCCGTGGATAAAGGGGGAAAAAATGATAAGAGGAGGAGGAGGGCAGGTCTGGAGACACCTTCATCAATTAATGCTGCCGGAGTCGACGCCCATTGGACGCCGCTGACAGGTGATGCAATAAAAAAATGGACCCCCGCCCTCCCCATTTCCCTTCCAGACCCCCCTAACCATGACGGTRGTTTGAAACCGTCTGCAGTTTGTGAAAAAAAAAGCTGAAATATTCAACCCCTCTGTTCCACTGCATGACCAGAAATAAAAAGCTGCAGCAGACTGGCAGATTTCTTTTTCATCACAACAAAAGACGCACAAAATGTGCGTCATTTTCTAAACATCTCCCGTTTAATTTGGTTAAATGTTGATTTTTTCTTCTTTTTTTATCTGCTGACCCATTTTCTAATGATGAAATCAAACAGTTGCTCCTGAATTATATAAAGAAGGTGCTGTTTAAAAGAGTTCACTCCTGCGGTTTTTCCAGATATGCGATCTGAAATGCGGGTCTGCWCTCAACGTAAATAAACGCGACCGAATCGTCTGAAAACCACYCTGAGGTTTGAGTCGTGATGTTACAGGGTGGTGCGCAGAAGCTCTTCTGGTTTGACCTATTTTCAGTCTGCGCTGCTTTGCCTTCCAGTCACAAACGTTTAAATTTAATGTCAAAATAGAGATATATATTTAAAATAATGTGCAGATTTTTTTTCCCTCTTTTTTATTTTTGGTTTGGTCTTCGWATACCTTGGAATTTATTATGTGAAGTCATGAATAAATTAATTTATTTATCATTTTGTTCCCTTTGGACCGTTATGTTTTGACTGCAAAATAAAATAACATTTAAGTCTAATGATAATAATAATAATGACGGTGACGTAATGAGGTCTTGTGAGGTATTTACACAAGCAGCAGGGAGGAAAATGTGAAGTCAGGGCTGCTTTTCCCCCCACATGTTTTATTTTTATGTTACGCAACACGTATGTGAACAATTCTAAATGATTAAATAATTGTATTTTTTTTCTTAAACAATTGGAGTTTTAGGGACAATAACCTCCAGCGGGGTCAGTGAACGCACCACACACACACACACACACACACACACACACA